AAACGGACAAACGCACAGAATATGGAGAAATACGAAATAATGTGGTGGTTTCCTGAAAACGGGTCGCGTGCGGTCCGTATACGGTTCTTATTTCAACCGTGCGCGAACGCTGAGCGTCCATAACGGGAGGTTCGCGAATCACCTGTGAATATCGGGATAACTAGGAATTTTCAGAAAATAATGTGAATGCAAAATTTTCTATCCAGGTCTGTTTTAAACCCTTCCAAAATTTTCAAACTGATGGGAAACTTGACAGCCGAGCTCTATACTTCTGAAAATGGTTATTTTTGGCAATCTTGCTGACTTGTTTCATAAATATTCTGTCTGATTCCAAATATTGTGAATGAGTATGGAACATAATCGCTTTATCAATTCGAAATTTGAAAAGCAGCGTCTTTTTTTTCAAGAAATTCCTAGTCTCTGTTGCACACTTTGAAGCTAAACGTTGGCATTTGCTCCTCCATCATAACTCCTCATGGATTAGTTTTTTCTACATGTACACCATCACTCTCCAGGGCTCTTTTTTGTTGTCCCCTTCTTCCCTCCACTTTCAAATCATCACCATCTATCATCAGTCGTCTTCTTTTTTTGGCTCATATTTTCTTGCTTTTCGTCCAGGAAGAATATTTATTATTACCAGAGAAAAGGATTGGTACAAAATACATAAGGAAACATTTATAGAGAAAGGGAAAAAGGAAAAGTAAAGAGGATGAAAAATTGGCAGAGAATGATTTCATAGAAGATTACGGTGAGATGAGAAAGCATTTTTGGGACTAGTTGGAATAGAAAGAGAACTACAAAAACTACATAAATGGAATCCCCGTAATGAAGAAAGGAGAATAGGATTTCACAAACTTTCAAAGACGTTTGATAACAAGCATCGAATCTTCGCTAATCGTACGATCGATGGTAGGAATAGATGAATATGAATTGGACCGACGGGCAGTTAATATTGGGGTACAAATTGAGAGAGTTGGAGATGAATGACGCCAGTTGGATGGGGTGATTGTTGGATCTTCAGAATCATCATCTTCAGAAGAAGCAGAATCATCATCATCGTGGAAGGAATATGTGGGAGCAGGGGATGCGGGGAAATGTAGGAATGTAGACGGGCCTGGAAACGGAAGATTCAGATAAAGGATATCGATAAAATATTCAACAATCACTGATTTGAATATTCTAATCTGAATAAACAATACCGGTCAAAAAAGATATGCAAAAACGTGTTTTTCAGTTGATTTCCGGCATTTTCAGGAGTCTGGAGTTCGGCATTCAAACACCCTATCATTTTGAAAATTGTTTACGGTGGAAAACAGAAATAGTTTGAAAAATTGGCATTTACAGACTTTTTTAAAAATTCCTAGTTTTTAAGGTATTTGTCGATTTCTGAAGGACATCTCTTTTTTTTCTATTTTTGGACTGAAGACGAGAAAAACAGGTGTCCTCCAGAAATCGGAAAATAACTAAAAAACAAGGAATTTTCTAACAATTCTGTAAACTCAAAGTTTTCAATCTCGGTCTGTTTTATGAACTAATAAATGTTCTACACATGAAAGCCGAGCTCCAGACTCATAAAACTGGGCATAGTTCCTCTAATGGTCAACATTTTCACACCAACTAAAACAGATATCATAGACTTCGAAGGGTTCTACAGAATGATACTATTCAGAAAACTTTATCTTGTCCATGAACAAAATGTAACAAATCATAAAGTGGCCGAGCCCTTTCTATCATATCTAATTTAGTTGGTCCAAAAATAGTGAGCCGAAAAGAAACTATGGCAAGGCTTATTTCGGGCCCGTTTTGGACCCGTTTCAAGTCTGGTTGTATTTCTATTGAAACTCATTTGATGATTTCTTTTTCCAATTCCTCGCTCGTCCTTTTATCAATATTCCTCTTTTAAAAACAAACCTGAAACTAATGAAGGAACTGATACATCCAACTCGGTTCTCTCTGTTTCCACCACCATGATATTATCTGTTTCTCCAATCGGTTCATAATCGCTACGTAATTGGATTCTTGTTGAGCTTCTGATGAGCGGCCTGAGCGACCGGCACCCGACCAGACGGACCCCGTTCGAATCGGTGCTCCAACTCGTATTCTCCTCTCTGTCGTTGGCTTTGAAAAAACCGAATGCACATGAAGATGCCTCCTCCCTAGAAAATAGACAGAGAAGCATCTAGAATTAATTGGTTGTCGTGTCAAAGTGTATGAGTGTGTGTTTGCTAGATTATTGGTAATCTCTCTTTTTGATTGATGAAGGAGCATCTAAGTGATTAATGGAACGAGGAGCATTTTCAAGAGAGGAATTCTAATGTTGAGAGGAGGAAAATAGACACCTGTTATACGTTATACAATAAATGAAACACATTGCAACGATGCGGCCGGAAAATGTGTCAAACGCGACCGCAAGATGATTAATTGTCAGCTGATGCCTCTCGAGCATTTTCGTGAATAATTTGATTGTTGGCTCCGTTAAAAACGACAGAAAAAATGATGATAGATGTGGGAAAAAATAAGTTTTTAAAACTAATATTACACTGGACTCTAGTGACTGGAGGATGTCGCATGATTTCTCTAAAGTTTCTTGATTGAAACTGAGAAATATGATGATGAATGACAAACTACCAGGATTTCAGAATTTGAAACTCTGCAAAAAAACTCAAATGAAATTTTGAACATTTTTCAAAGTTCCAAGGTATTTGTGGGGATTTTCCTGGATCAACCGACATTCTCGGTTGATTCCTGGTATCGTAGGAAACTCAGAAAATTAGGGATGGCACACAATTACCCGGACTGACATAGGCGTCTTGGAAGCACAAAAATTATTAAAAATATAAATTGTTATGATTGTCCAAAGATGAACTTTTCTTGCATGCTGTAGTGATTTTGAAGCAACTTTGACAATGCGCATTTTCACAATTGTAAGTTCAGGTTCAAGTAAATTTCCCGGAAAATTTTCGAACAATTTTCTGGAAAACGCTGTAAAAAGCTACCAATGTTTTCCAGGATTTCAGAGTCTCTAAACTACGGTATCAGTCGCTTTGGACAGCGTTTCCCAGGAAACTTTTCCTGTAAATTTACTTTGAACGCGAAACGAAGCTCAGAAACGCTAGCTTTATTGGTAAGAGAGCTACGAGTCAAACTGGACCTCTCAAGTTCTTGACAACCCAACTCCCCTTCACAACTGAGGTTTTTATGTCTTTTCCTTTTTTGGATTCGTATCCTTTCTCTTTTTTTTCTACACTTCATCAACTTTGAGACTATTCCTCTTCTCAAATCAAAATAATAGAAATCCTAGAATTGAAGCGCAACTAAATCCGTCATTTTCAATTGTCCCAATCGTTTTCTACTCCACTGAACACCGTCTTCTTCCTCCTAAAAGTGCGTTTGTCTCCAAAACGACTTCTTCATCTTTTTTCTTCCTAGGGTGGTCCTTTCCAACTATATATACAAAAAGGATGAAGGGGGAAAAAGTGCAAAAAAAGAATTGATATGAGCCCTATAATTAGAATGTGTATGCAAAGAAGTGTCAAGTCAAATCAGGGAAAAGGGGGCTCAGCAGATACCTGCCAATTATTCTTCACACCCCATGAGAGACCCCCTTAGATCCATTTTGTACGTTTTCGAAATTCTTTTTGATTCCTTTTATTTTGTTTTTGAAAGTACTGAAATATGGGGAAAAGAAGTCACTTCGAAACTGCGACACTTCGAAACCAGTCATACGAATAGATGAATTACAAACTTCAAAAACAATTTTAGGGGGTTTCAAATATGCTTTTTTAAATAGAACGCATTCTGAAACTCGAGAAATTAGAAAAAAATTTGCAAAATGTGTTCTATCAGAAAATTCATACGTATTTGAACACCCTGGAGTTGTTTTTGCAGTCTGAAACTCATCTATTCGTCTGTATTACCACGGTTTCGAAATGACTGGTTTCGAAGTGTCGTAGTTTCGAAGGGGCCTAAAAGAATACGGAAATGTGACTTCTATATAAAATATCATAGAATCAGATGGGAACACATTGAAGGATCAATAGAAACATATGTTTTATAGTAGAGAAAAAAGAAACGCGTGTGAACGAATGGAGAATATACGGAAACGCGCATTTCCGTATACTTTTTAGATTGTTATACATGAAAGTTATTAAGTTGCACTTATACTATCATTCCCAAAGGATTCACCTAGTTCCAGAAATAAAATTTTTAGAAAAAGGTGATGCTGTTTCTTTTTTCTAATTAGCTTTGAAACTTGTTACTCACCATAAGAGCTACAAGAACTTGGCACACCATTATGATCATGTACTTCTCGAGACGTCCCATCGATTCCTGAAGTAGATCAAAAAATTATTTTTAAGACTCTTATAAATACCTTCATGGAGACGATATCGTCAAACAACTGTACAATTCGTGCATACTCCTCCATGAACGCCTTCAGGCGTAGCTCACGCTCCATTCCTGGTGGGATAATTTTTGTAGTCGTCTGCAAAAAAAAGGAATTCAGAAGTGAGGAACATGTGTTCACCCAACCTGGTTCCTTCTACCGAACAGAAGGAACAACAGAATAAGAAAAAAGTATTTTTCTTTTTATTCTGGAGAAGAACAAAAAGGAATAGGTAAAAAAAGCAGAAGAAGAAGGATGAACAAAGTGGGAATGGAAAGAACCGAAAAATATAAGTGAAGCGATGGAAAAGAGAAGGGTGGGGGGAGCCGGCGTGAAAGAGCAAACTCCGCCCACTTTTTTGTGTTGCTCTTTGGAGACGAGGAGAGAGAGAGAGATAGGAACGTGCATAACGTTTCGTAACTTGGAGAGAGAGAAATAAGAAAGTAAAGGTGTGCTTCGTTTGAAGGTAAATGTTCTCACTTTCATGGATTTTATTTAGAGAGGTTATGTTTTAAAAAACAAATGAAATGTAAAAAGACACTGTGAAGAAGATTCATAATATGAGATGCGGCAGATGAAGAACTGAAAACAGACTCTTTGGTATGGTAAAGTGGTTGAACGAAGCATACTTGGGATGGTTATTTATTTGTTTAGCTGAACTTTTGGATGATTAAATGCCTTGAGTATTTTCTTTTGGGTTCGAAGTTTTCGTTTATTTCATTGCTCATGTTCTGAAAAAGAAAATTCAGAAATTCAGTGTTTCAGAAGTTCCTTATTCGAAAACAGAATTTGCAACTTGGAAATTCCACATTTCGGAAGTTGAGATATCCAGAATTTCGACAATGTTAGTTCAGAGATAGGTTAATTCAAACAATTTTAAAAAAAAGTGTCCATCTAGAAAAAATGTTTCAAAATTTTGAAATCCCGAGCGAAATTCTGGAATTTGGAAAGTTCAGAATTCAAGAAACTCGGAAGTTGAAAAATTGATAAAGTCCAAACTGGAAAATGTAGATTCGGACTTCGAAAACCCTGAAATTCTAAAACTCGATTTTAATTAGTTAATATCTCCCTTTAGAAATTTAAGAGTTTTTAAAATCCTTAATTTTTGTAGAACTTCTGAATTTCTGTATTTTGTTGTTTATTTCCGAATTTCCGAAAATGTATTTTTCTGAACTTCAGAATTCACTAGTTTTCAAACTTCCGAATTTAATACTCTCGGATTTCTAACTCTCCAATATATTTTTCGAAGATTCAGAGAATCAGAAAGTTAGCAATTCCTGAATTGAGAATCTCAGAAAGTCGGAAGTTTGAAAACTCAAAAAAATTTTGAAATTTCAGAATTTCAGCAGTCCAAAGGGTGTTCCACACATTGAAGATTTCTTTTTTGAAATCTTGAATTCCTTCATTCCTATTTCGTATAAAATTATCTTTTAAGAAAACCTTTGGGATCTTACGGTGAACACTCTACTAGATGGCCAACCTTTACTTGCACTTCCAGCTTAATTATTTCGATTCCTAAGAGAGATATCTAAAATTGGGCAACTGATAAATGTTGGTGATATTATGATAAACATTTTGTTAATTGACAAGTTTTAAATATCTCTTATGGCAATTAAGATAATTGAGCCAAAAGGGCAAGTATAGGGTGGCCTTCTTTTAGAGTGTTTACGGTAAATTATGAAAACTTTTGAGACCTTAACTTTAATTACAGTACTGGCCAAAAAGAATGCGGCGACAGGTTAAATGCCTCGACAGGACTTTCTTCAAATCAGAGCTAAAGTGTCAAACTCTTTTGTAAAATGTAGCAAATAACCTTATAAAAATATTCTGCAGAATTCTGAAACATTTTTACCCAGAAAATGGAAAACAACTTTTTTGGCCACAAAATTCACTTTTTGGAAAATTTCGGATTTTTGGATTTTTTTTGTTTTCAAAAATCTGACGATTATGAATGTTTAACATTGATTTTGATCTTGATTTAACAAATTATTCATCATCGTTTTCTATTTTTTCCAAATTTTTGAAAAAAGAAACCTCCAAAAACCCGAAATTTTCCAAAAAGTGAATTTTGCTGCCAAAAAAAGTTGTTTTCCGTTTTCTGGGTAAAAATGTTTTAGAATATTTTTTCTAGGGTTATTTGCTACATTTTACAAAAAAGTTTGACACTTTAGCTCTATTTTGAAGAAAGTTACAGTCAAAAAACCTGTTGAGTCGACAGTGTCGACGCATTCTTTTTGGCCAGTAATGTAGATCGGTTTCTGGAAAAAGTTGGTTTTTTAAAAGTGAGCTTAGTACGTTTTCAAAAGTGAATGCCGAAAAAAAGCGGAGCTACTTTTCTCTCCGTTTCCATTACCAACTAAAACGAAAACTTTGAAGTGAAGGTTGTCAACGTTGGGATTTCTCAAGTGCTTGACAACCAAGCCCTTTTTTGCGTTTTTTGGGAAAAAAACTCGAATTGAGATTCTGAATTTCTGAAAGAGGTTGGAAATTAATCTGATTACTGTATTTTTTCTTTTTTATGAACCGAATTACCGTATCACTTGTAACAGAAGGACCCTCACACAGTCAACTTTGAGCCTATATATCTCGGTTCCTGTGAAAGATATCGAAAATGTGTCAACTGATAACATGTTTATGGTATTATGATAAACAATTTATCAGTTGACAGCTTTTCAAAATCTTTGACAGGAAACGAGATAAATTGTCTCAAAGTTAAAGGTAGGGGCCCCCTTATTACAGGTTTTACGGTATTTGTGGGAAAACACAGTTTTTGAAAACCTAGGGATTACACCAACTCATCAGTAATTCGTCGTTAGCTGAAAAATTAGTCCACACCGAAAACAACAACAATAATCGAAAATTCTCGCTCCTTTTTTTGCGGGCTGACGTTCTTCTTCTTCTTCCAACCCATATTTTTTTGTGCAGTCACATCCATAACAATAAAAAATATATATTACTCTTTCTTTCTTTTTCTAACTTTACATATATAAATACAACGAGTAAGAAAAAATCAACCGGAAGAACGAAAAAATGATACAAACTTATTATGACATTCCTAAAACAAAAAAGGCAAAAACGAAGGAACCAGAAAAAAATAATACGGGGTAAAAAAAGAAATTGTGAGATGAGCTCTAAACTGGGAGAAGCAACGAAAATTTGAAAGAGTCCGTAAAAAGGGCGGCAAAATGTATCCTCTTACATGCATACTTTTACACGTTGTGGAAGTGGACAAAAGGACCCGATAAGGAGGAAAATAAACGAAAAATTTGGAAGAGGAGAGGAAAATAGAAAATTGCTTGGGTGTGAAATTTTAAAGTAATCGAAATGCCCGTGGTGGTGTGTGAGAAACAAGATTCAAAATCTGATATGCATTATATTGGATTAGGGGGAATATAGAGAAAGAGGGGGGGGGGGACGCCTCCTGAAGAATCAGAATTTCTCGTTGTGAACGTCGTCGTCAGGTAAGTTAATTTGTACATGTGGATTCCGTCGACCGAGTCTAAAAATTATATACGTCATTTTTTCGAGATGAGCCTTTTTTGTTGCTCCTGGACGTTTCAGAACCTGACTTCTCCGAACCGCTATATTTCAGAACCCGACATTTCGGAACTTTTCTGCATTTTTGCATAGCGGTTTTCGCACATCTAATGAGTATTGCTCATTTCAATTTGTTGTTTTTCTGTTTTTTTATTCATTCTCATCTACCCTATTCCAAATAATGATAGGCTCATACTCTGAAACTCTCAAAAAATCGAGAAAATTGAAAATTCCTAGAAACGATGTCATTACTAAAAGTTTGCAAAAATTAAGATCATATTCGCCGGCAAAACTTTTGCGTACTTTTAGACACATTTTTTTAAATTTTAAATTTTTTTTGCTGTTTTTTTGAGTTTCCGAATATGAGCCTAACATTACTTGGAGTACGGTAGATGAGAAACAAATAAAAAAGCAGAAAAACAACAAATTGAAATGAGCAATACTCATTTTATGTGCAAAAACCACTATGCAAAAACATAGAAAATTACTGAAACACCGAGTTCTGAAATGTCCAGGAGCCGGAAATTAGTATCTTTTTGAGTCACTCACTCTGCTGCTGATCTTGCCCGTTGTGGTAGTGTAGGAACATTCAAAACCAGTCCTCCCACACTTTCATTTTCAGAATTCGTTGTGTCCAAAGGAGACAGGTCTATACTTATACACGAGGAACTTGTTGAAGGAGAGCTAACATCGAAATGTGGAGAGTCTGGAGTCGTTCGAACATTCTCCACTCTGTGCAATTCGCTCAGTTGATTCGGGGTTAATGCCCCACGTCGAACCACTTCTAGGGGTGGCTGTAAATTGTAGATTTATGATTTTTTGCTACTTATAAAACATAAGTACTTGAATATAATCCTCGTTCGCATCTTCTTCCCCGTTATCGGTTAGGAATGCAGGATTCTGAGATTCCATTCCTGATTCCAATCTTGCACTCTTTTCAAATGTTGACTGGTCGGCAGAGGTATCAATAAATATGCTCACTCCTGGTGTTGGTACTTTTCCTGCTTGAAGATATTCCATTGCGAAGCGCAGCTGAAATGATTTGATCATCATCATCTTCTCATTTTACATCAGCCTAACAACTTTTGCTGTGCACGAAATTCGACACCGTCTCCCACAAAAAGTGGATTTTTTTTTTGGAAATTAAAAGGCAAACCTCTTTAAGCGCCACAACGCCAATCAACTGCCCTTTTTTCGTCACATACGCCCGATTGAGGCCAAGAAGTGAGAAGAGAGAATGTGCCTGAATATAGGATTCTGATATATTGGAACGCAAGAGATCAAAACCTTCAAGAGACTTGTGTATTCGCTGAGTTGGAATGGTGTTGAGTCGACGTCCAATTGCATTAGGTCAAGTTTCTGGTTGAGTATGGATTCCTCCCATTCAGCACGCTGAAAGGTTGAAATATTGATCCATAGAACAGTTAAATACCTTAGATTTAGACTAAAATCAGATAGCGACAATAGAACAGAACATGTTAGGGACACAAAAATCTTTTTCTTCTCATAGTAAGCTTAAGCTTGTTTAGATTTTGGCGTTACTGGAAAGCATTAGATTAACTCAGTAACATATTTCTCTTACATTATCTATAAAATCTGGATCGCCCATTAAAGTTTCAGTATGCTGAAATTCTTTTTTCACAAAAACCTTTTAAAAACCTCCAGCAACTTACCTCTTGCGCATACAAGTCGAATTCGTTGTGATTACTTTTCTTTGGGAAGTTTTGCCGTCCAAAACTGAGATGCGTGATTGATCGGAAGATATCTGAAATTCCCTGAATTAAAAAATAAATAAACCAAATCAAAAAATACCTCCAATAGTGTGATGAGATTCAATTTGACCCGGATTCACAGTCCTTCCATTCATTTCTCCTTTCGGCACTGCTGCATCAAACAAAGCTCTTTTCTCTTCCACAGTGAGAATTTTTCTGGCATTCTCGTCACTCAAGCCGCTTAACGTCTCATTCTTTGACACTTGAGGACCATTTTTCGCAACAGGAACGACCAGGAATCTACAATAATGATTAATAGATTAGAAAACACCGACAAATTCCTACCGACTAGCTCTTCTTTCTCCTGCTCCCTTTGATGCCAAACTCTCGGCAGTCTCATCAGACCTGCTTTCTTCTTTCTTCCTCCTGTCACTTTCCTCATCTTCTAGACGCTGTTTGACTCTTCGTGTGGCTTCGGCGAATCTCGCTTTCGTGCCGATATGTGCATCGACATATCGCTGTAACTGTCCTCGGCTAATGGAACCGACCAACGCCAGGGATTCTATATTTTCCACTAGCGGGAACGCTCGAATTCTACTTTTTGTTTCCAAGGCTCTTTTGACATCTCCAAGAGTTGAGTCTTTTGCAATAAACACGACAGGCGAAATCATAAACTGTTCAATTAGCATTTGATGATACAAAGATGTTGTATGCGGAATATCAGGTAGGTATGGTAAGTTCTTGATTCGAATGATGCTGTCATAAATGGAAGGCTGCAGATATGAAGCTACTGCGTTGGCAATGAGCACCGCAATCTGAAAAAGGTACAATTAAGTTACCATGTCAGACAGAAATATTACGTACCATAACTGGCAAAAGATGACACAACTGTCCTGTAATTTCAAAGACAATAACAGCGACAGAAACTGTATGAGTGACAGCTCCACAAAACGCAGCAGCTCCAACAACTGCATAAACTCCAGGTCGAATGAAAAATATGATATCCCCACTGACATATCCATCTGGATACATTGTGAAAACGCCTTCGCCGACTAGTCGTCCAAAAGCAGCGCCCAGAACAAAAACTGGCATGAAAATTCCAGAAGGAACTGGTAAGGTAGAAGCCAGGATTGAGAGGAAGAACTGAAACTTTTCGGTTAAAAATGGTAAAATATTTTTAAAAAAACATACATAAACAAACTGAAAGATAGCGAGCGTCAAGAACGGAGAGTATGTTCTGTGGTCGGTGTTGTCTATCATTCCAACCCAGTGGTTTATATCAAAAGAGTCTGTTGACAGATTCGCGTTAGAACATGCATAGGAATTGTTCGAAGAAGCAGTCCATGCGCAGTTGACGAAGAACTCTTTCATTGTGTGACTGAACCGTTCCTAAATTCGGAAAATGCTATACTGTAAAACCTGTTATAGAAGGGTACCCAAGTTTGAGCTAATTTATCTCGGCTCCAGTAAAAGATATAAAAAATGTGTCAACTGACAAAATACTTCTGGTATTATGATAAGCAATTTATCAGTTGACAACTTTTTTATATCTCTGCCAGGAGCTGAGAAAAATTAGCTCAAAGTTGAGGGGCCATTCTATTACAGGTTTTACGGTAGTTATGCTTACCTTTCCACCCATAAGACGTCCCAATCCTAACGGAAATGAAAGAGATGAGATGAACGTTGCGATGAAAATTGGGTACAGTAACCAGCTGAAAATTTCTGTTAAGTTTCGATTTCCTTACTTCGAGACCTACTATTTTTGAAAAATCATCTTTGCAATTGCATTTCTCCGAAGAAAAAGAACTGTTCTTCGATGAAGATAAACGAATAGAGATCCAGCAAGACCACATATTAATCTGCAAACCAATTATTATGTTCCTGAAGATATTCAGAACAACTAACCCAATAAGAGCAAAAACAGGAAGTTCTTGAGGAAGAAAAACATTTTGAGGAGGAAAATTTGTTTGGTAATGAGCCTCAACAGTTACTGCAGCTGATACCGAGAACATTCGAAGAATCCGGAATATAGTTGCTGAGCAGGTGGCTGCAAAGAATCCACGCCAATAGTTTCGGACAGCGAAATACACAGAAGTGACTTCAATAGAGAACAAAACACCTCCAATGGGCGCCGAGAATGTACATGCAACTCCAACGGCACATCCAGCTGCCAGCATCTCTCCGCTCCGAGATTCGTTCTCAAATACTCCTCCGTTGGATCCATGCACCAGCTTGGTTAACTGAGATGCTACGACTGAAGCGACATGCACAAACGGTCCCTGTAAAACTGGATAAGTATAATCGAGATGGATTCGAAACGAAGCCGACACACTTCTTTTCCCATTGGTAATCCACTTCCAAGCGATAGAGTGAGTCCTATCATCTTGGAAACAAGTGTCCTAATAGATAGGTATTCCTTCAGAATCACTCCTCTCAGAATAGTTTTCATTTCTGGTATTCCCGAGCCAATCGCCTGCGGAGCAATGTAATGAGCACAGACGGCGGATAAGACGATGAGAGCAACCACATATCCAACCCAAATCAGATATCCTAACGTGAAGTGATACTGATATACTAGATCGAACAGACGCATTTGACCTGGAAAACAAAGTTTATTTTTCCCCATGTGTTTTGTGGGGGGCGCTATCTGACACTTTGACTTTCTTATCAGCCACAAATGACGTTTTTTTTCTTTTAAATTTGGGAAAGCAGGTCATCAAACAAACCATTCTGTAAATTCAATATTGCATAATCCATGCCAAACGAAAGAGCTGCCATAATGAATCCGAGGAGAGCCAGAAAGATCCAATCTCGCATAACCGTTCGGAAAAAGTTTTTGAGACTTTCTGGAATCATAATTTTAAGAAAAAAAATTTGGGAATAGTTACCTGCAGAACAGCAACTAGATGATTTAGTCTGATCATTGTGAGTGAGTGGAATCGTGAGACCATCGGAGGTTTTGTTCTGGAATATGAAGTGATTCAGAAATATTAAAGTTGAATCAGGAAACTGAAAATCTGGCCAACGAGTTCCAGAATTTTCGGAAGTTACAGAATTCTTAAATTCTGAAAATTCAGATTTTGAAAAACGTTCAAAATTTCTGAATTTTAGAATTTGGAAATTTTGAAATTCCCAATATTTTTAGAATTTTCATAATTTTAGAATTCACATAAATTCGAATGTTTAAAGTTCATAAATTTTGGGAATGTCAGAATTTTATGTGCTATTATTCCCATTTTAAAGCGAATTTTCGAGAGAAAAAAATTGATTTTTTCTCAGATTTTTTTTTCAAAAAATTTTGACCTTTTTAGGTTTTTCAACTATTTTTGATTTTTCCAAATTTTTTGTTGGAAATTTGACAGGATGGTTCGCGAAGATTACTGTAAAAAACCTTTCTACAGTAATCTACAATAATCTTCGCGAACGCCATCCTGTCAAATTTCAGACAAAAAACCGGAAAAATCGAAAAAGAATCTTTGAAAATAGCTGGAAAACCTGAAAATGTTTAAAAATTTCGCGAAAATCTGATGAAAAGTACTTTTTTTTTCGAAAAAATTGCTAATTTTTCGGAGTTTTCAGTAGTTCTCGGTGAGAAAATTCCAGAAGTTTCCAGAAATGGACGAGAAGCGATTTTTCAGGATTTGCCTTTTTTTTTTTGATTTTTTTGTTTCGATATGAATCTACATTTTTATATTTTCAGGGCCTGAAATTGAGCAATATCAAGTCTAATGACAAGATGACCATTTAGAACAAATTTTCAATCTAGTAAAATAGAAACTCACCCCATTTTCATCTAAAACATTGAACTGAAACATAATAGCTCAAGTGAAGAAATCAACCATCGTTTGTTTTAAGCCCACACTCTCGCTTCCGTCATCTGATAACACTTACATATGTTTCTTACTCGTCCATGTTTTTTGTCGATTTTTATTATTCATTACCCTCCTCTTAATGATTGTTTTGCCCCACTATCAGAAAACAATTTGCTCCCACACAAAAACCCACCTTCTCAATTTTTGACAATATATTTGTTCCGATGCCCATACTGTGCGAGTCGTCGTCGATCGGTAGCTTGCGAACGGTTTTGTAGACACCGAGGTGCTGAAAATTAAGATGATGTCGTCGTGTGAACTTGAATTGTTTTTCATAACATAACACCTATAAGGTCATCAGTAGACAAAAAAATACAAGATTTGAAAAAAAGATTGATGGGGTACGACGTTCATGATCAAAGAAGCAAAATCAGATGATGTTGCACTAGTGACGTTTAGGCGTCTTTAGATTCTAATCATTAGAATTTAAAGGTGTTAAGGTAATACTTTGAGTGGGAGGAGTCCGGAACCCCGATTGAGGTTTGCTCTTGTCTAGGAGAAAAAATATCGTTCGAGAAAATCTGAATTATTTAAAAACGATATTCTCTCTTCTGGAGCACGCCATCGTTGACGTCAGGCAAACCGTTCGTTCTCTCTAGTTAATCCGATTGAAGAGACAGACTCCGCCTACTATCAAAACAATAAACACAGAAACACGATATTTTGCAGAAATTAAACCAGCGAGAGATGAATGAAAATTTTAGATACCGTAAAACCTGTATTACAAGGGTCCTTTCAATAGAAGGGGCCCTCTAATAGTAGGGCCCTCTGAGAGGGACTTGGAACAATAGAAGGCCCCCTGTAATAGAAGGGCCCCCTTCAAAAAGTGTTGCTTGAAATAAAAACGTTTCGTACGCTTTTAGAGAAAATTGCTCAATTTTGGTGGAATTGTTAGATTTTTATGAATATTGAACGAGATTTCACCGATTTTTTCGGTAAAAATTTTCGAGAACAATGGGTTGAAGATAGATGACCCCCTCTAACTGAAGGGCGCCCCGTAATAGGAGGGCCCTCCGGAGATATCTTGGAGCAATAGAAGGAACGGCCTTTCTAACACAGGTTTTACGGTATTCCAAAAATAGGATTATTTTCTTTGAGTACATGCAAAAAATCATCGAAAAATTCGGAGAAGTTTGATGTGACATTTTTGATTGATAACATATACAAAAACGAACAAATATTTGGAGACCACTAAAATCGGTGAAAGGTTCAGAAATGTAATGTGTGAGAATAGGAGACCAGTTCGCAACTCACGGTGATTGTATGAAGCATATTTATTATCACTGGTTTTAAAAGGGAAAAGCAAACATCGAATGGGTTCGACGAGTTCAGCATCCTCTTTTTTTCAGATTTTTAGGGAAGAAATGATCAATAAATCAAGGAATGCTCAATGAATTATTCAAATTATTGACCTAAATAGAGACTTACGAGACTGGAAAGAGCTTCAGAGAAGGAAACCAGATGTAGAAAAAAAAACGAAGGAATGCTAGCAAATACGTCACATTCGTTCTCTCGCTGAAATTCCGGAATTCGAGAGAGGATTATTAAAATGAGTGGTCAGTATGATCGGTTCAAAAAGAACTAAAAGAACGGTGTACTGTGAAACGGAGAACTAAAAGACACAGATTTCAAAAAAAGATATCAAGAAAGAGAAGGCATATCATTTCATTGTTCTCGATGACCCATACACTCGTTCGATGTTTTTTTTAAGTCAAAAGAAATCACTCACCGAACAGCCAGGTTGGAGATCATATTCTTTGCCGGCTGCCATACGAACCGTCTCGATTTCCTCATTGTTGTCAATGGTCTTCTCCGATTTTTCTGAAATTTTAGAGGTTTGAAGGGACGGAAAAGTGTTATTAACGATAACTAACCAAAGCGTAGAATAAATCTCAACCGATAGGGCATTTTTAATAGGGGAAGAAGCTGATATATTTATGATAACAATGACCATAATGATAACGGAGATAAATTTTATGGATCAGAATCTAGAAACCCACCTGGTGAGAGAGGCAGCAAACTTGTCCATTCAATTTTTGCGAGTGGTGTCCGGCTGGGCATATGTAGTGTTCTGAAATGAATAAAAAACATAAAAATACATAAAACGGCACGAAGAAACAGAGAAATTTGTGTAGGCGAGCTGCGAAAAAGCCCAACAAACTGTCAAGTGGTGACCGGCGTTTGCTATGTTTGTTACAAGTACCTACGAAGGTATTTTATTCCTCTTTAACGAAGATCAAATGAAAATCTTTTCTTTGAACGAAGAAAAGTGGTTGTAAAGAAAGCAAACGACCAAATTTGGTGGAAATTGTTAATTAATGACATAATTTTTTAACTTTATTCAAAACAAAAGAAGCTTTTGGCGAATTTCTTTTTTTTTCAAGAAAGAAGAAACTCGTTAGTTAACTGGATCGTAAGATTTCTTAAAGGCGCAGCCTCGGTAGTGAAACTCCGCTTTAGAGCCAGAGGTTAATTTGAACGCTGCGCCTCTAAAAAATCATACGGTTTGCCTTGTTAAAAAATACGAGTTATTGAAAATGTTGAAATTTCTATGAATTTTTGCTCTAAATAAAATAGTTAAAAATTTGTGAAAATTCTCGACTTCTATCAGCCATTGAATAAAAAGAAAAACACATTGGATAAGAAGAACTTGAAAAATTGGGCTTTTCATTCAGAAATCTATCACTCAAAATATTGGCTTCAGAAAATTGGGTCGACTCGGTCATTCTTCGCCACGCAGAGAAAATGTTCTCATCAGTTCAGTTCCGTCTCTACCGTATGCTTCAGTCTCCCGGGTCGCTGCACAATTCTGGGTGCACTTTGCATACATCCTGAATTTTTGTTTCACAGTAATAATCACTAAATTTTTAAAATTTCCATTGCAGATGAATTTGTTTTCATAAACAAAGAGAACGAAAGTTGAAACAGAGGAAATTAAAGAAAAATTATAGACTGCGAGCTGCAACTGGTTGAGAATTGTTCAACGGATCGTCGTTGTAATTATCATCAAATACGGCTAACAGCTAACAGTTCCAGCAGAAGTGTGACCTGAATAACTGAAAGATTTTAGTAAGTCATCTGACTGAATTTTTTATTGAAAACTTTCAAATTTTTCTTCATTTGTCTGCTTCATTTTTATTTATAAATAGAATCCTTTGGGATTACGGTATACCAAGCGGAAACGAGAGATTTTTATAGATCAACTCTTACTAGGGACAAGAACTTATTTGTAAATAAATATTTGAATATTTCGGTTTGTTATAGACTTTCAGAAGGAATAAAATTATAAAAGTTCATGTGATGAATTCATTTTTGTCGTCAAGCCAAACAATCTCCGAAATTGGAATGTTTCAATCAAACTGTAATCTCCTTTTCTAAAGATGACGTTTTCTGTTGCATGTAGTCAGATTTATTGAACAGCTCTTTAGAATACAAGTCACATCTCCCACATTTTTCCATGAACAACTCCTGAATAGTAGAACTCATTTTTAAACTGTAGCCAAGTTTTTTTTCAATTATCTCGATTCCTATGAAAGATATCAAAAATGTTGCAACTGATAAAATATTGTTGATATTATGATGAACAATTTCTCAGTTGACAAGTTTTTTATATCTTTCCCAAGAATCGAGATAATTGAGTTGAAAGTTGACGGTTTGGGTGAGCTTCTATAATACCAAATGGGCTAAATTTCGTTGTTACACTGTCACAAAGCTTACACAAAGTCTCCACTTTAAGGCCAATTATCTTGATTCCTATGAAAGATATCAAAAATGTTTCAACTGATAAATTGTTTATCATAATGTCAACAATATTTTACTAGTTTATAAACTTTTGATATCTTTCACAGGAATAGAGATGAATAGGCTCAAAGTGGATGATTCGGTTGGCTTCTATAGAAATATGGTAAGCTTCAAATCCATTCTCCCTAGTACCCCGGGGCACATCCGATCATTGGCAGACTCCAAAATATCAATGATTCATCCTTTCTGCACATTTTTGTGACCCGATTGTTTATCCAGCACATATGGGACACAAGTTACTATTTGTAACTGAAATAAGTTGTCTTTTGTCATCCTATGTTTGCCCTTTTCTCTGTTCCAATGCTCCTTGTTCTCTCAATCGAACTATTTCCCCTTTTTGTATTATTCTCCAGAGAGATAATCTTGTTCTATCTATCACAGAACTATCAATAAGCATTCATTTATTTATCATCATCATCATGTTTTCGTCGCGGTCTCTTCCACGAAGAGGCGTAACCGTGTCAGGAGGAACACAGGTTGACATAGAGGATATTATTGGGCAGAACTATTTGAACAACTGCAATTTTATTTTCAAGTTGAAAATACTGCTGATCAAACTGAAAAAAAACCAAACTTTCTTTTAAAATTCAGTATAAAAGGGGATGAATCGAAATTAGTAATTCATCTACCGTAAACACTCCAATAGAAGGCCACACTGTACTTGATATTTGAGCTCAATTATCTCAATCGCTATAACAGATAACAAAAATCTGTCAACTGATAAAATGTTTTTCATAATATCAGCAACATTTTTCTAGTTGACCACTTTTTCATATCTCTTACAGGAACCGAGAAATATAAGCTCAAAGTTGGAGGTTTAGGTGGGCTTCTATTAGAGTGTTTACGGTAGCCTGAGCCTTCTCTGATTGTCTTATCAATTGAACAAATATTGGAAATCCTATTTTAAAAGTTCACTTCATATCTATTTGCCACGTCATTATTTGCCTACAGTTTTATGGCTCTTCTGCCACCATCTTCAGAAAATTTCAGTTGACCTCTGATGCTTGTAGCATCAAATTACTCCTTGATCTACTTCTCGACCCTTGTCAGGTATCCAATTTCCCTATGGATTGTTCCCCCCCCTCCCAATTGATCGGCCTCTTTCTGTTTGCTTGCGCAAAAACTTTCCATTTCGACGTCCGTTTTTCTTCCCCGAGACATTCATGATCACATATATTTTGTTTGATTTTAACTTACTGCCAACCGAGCGACTTCTCGCAAAATATTGACTCACTCCTTTTCGTTTTTCTCAATCGTTTTATAATGGAAAAGTTAGGATGAGAAAAAAAGCAAAATTCTGAAGTACCTGTAATAGAAGGGCCCTCTAACTTTCAAATTTTAGTGAATTTATCTCGGTTCCTATGAGAGATTACAAAAATCTGTCAGCTAATAAAGTGTTTATTATAATATCAAAAATATTTTATCAGTGGACACAGTTTTGATATCTTTCATAGGAAAAGGAACCTTGTGAACAAACATTTATCTAAAGGTGCATAGCCGGTCCTGAAGCCAAAACTGCTATGGTTTTTAGCAATAAATTTGTGCGCCTTTGATACAGTACTTCGGAATTATTTCATTTTGGCGTATTTATGACAGTTTTTCTACTTTAAAAAGGAATTTTAACTGATTTTTCATGAGAATTGGATACATTTAAACGGAAAAGGCAAAAATTAAATTATTCCGAATTACTGTATCAAAGGCGCATGAAATTATTTGTAAAAACCGTAGCTGTGTTCGCTTCAGGGCCGGCTATGCGCCTTTAAATTGATTTTCGGCCACAAGGTCCATATGTCAGGAGAAAGTTATCAGGAACAGCTGCTAGCTGATTTTGTTGTTGACCAACTGTTTTAAAACTTCTGAAGATGAGTCATTTCATGATTTTTGAGATTGTTGAAGAACGGGCAAACAAGTTTATTTATGAGGATGCATCTAGAAGGTGAGAACTGGACATAAGAGTATCCTCCAAGACAAGATTTGTACATAATTACCTCCTTTTATATAAGAGGAGGAGTATGAAATCATAGTTTATCTTTTAAACTTGTATTTTTTGTATTAGTAAAACCTGTCATATAGTGTTGTTGTTTTTCATTTTCAGCAAAGTTCACTCCACCGTGACTCCTGTTTTCACCTTCCAGAATGTTTCCTCTGTTTCCAGACGTTTCCATCGGATCATCATCTCTCTCTCTTTCTCTCTCACTCGGTTTATTTAGCCCCGCCTTACTTGATTTCTTCCTCTCTGCGCCTCGCATCTCTTCGTTTATAAAAGTGGTCACAGGGGAACTGCGCGACGCGGATTCTGGTATAGTCTTCGTCTTCTCCATCATCCACAATTTTCTTGTTGCCTGGATTAACCCGGATCAGAGGTGCACTTCACGCTTCGTCGTGTGTGTCCGTCTGTCGATTACCGTTGCTGCCCCATCCCCTATCCATAAATAGACCGCGTCAACTGGATATGTGTTCGTTTCGCATTCCAAATTACCTCTGCTTTCTGGTCGCTTTCGTTTCACTCTTTCCATTTAGATTTTGTCCATCCCAACCATCAGATCCTTCTCCTTTCATTTTCATTATTCCCCCCCCCCCCCCCCCAAATATTGTACCCATAATCCTTGTTCCAGAATGAAACTCATCGTATTCGCCACTCTTTGTGCTGTTGCTATTGCTTTTCCACGAGAAAAGCGTCAGCTCTCAATCGGTACCATCTCGGTGTCTGGAGCCGGTGGATCCACTGGATGCGTTGTTACTGGAAACGTCCTCTATGCCAATGGAATTCGTCTTCGTAATTTGACCTCATCCGAGCAAAGCGAATTGGCCACCTACCAGACTGAAGTCGAACAATACAAAACTGTGAGTATGTCTTATGGCTGTCATTATGTACGGAGACCATATATATCATTTCCTGTAACAGAAATCAAAAATCTATCAACTGAAAAAATATTTGTGCTCATAGCACCTATATTTTGTCAGTTGACAACTTTTTAATATCTTCTACAGGAAATGAGATACAGTACTAGTCAATAAGATGCTAAAACGCATTTTTCAGTTGATTTTGACTATATTCCGGAGTCTAGAGCTCGGCTGTCAAGTGTCCGGTCGATTTGAAAATTTTGGAGGGTGTCAAACAGACCTGATAGAAAATTTTGAATTTACAGAGTTTTTCGAAAATTCCTAGTTTTTGAGTTACTTGCCGATTTCTGAAGGACACCCCCTTTTTTCTGTTTTTGTACTGAAAACGGAAAAAAAAGTAAGTGTCCTTCAGAAATCAGAAAATAGCTGAACAACTAGGAATTCTGTGAATGCAAAGTTCTCAATTTAGGTCTGATTTACCCTCTCCAAAGTTTTCAAAGGAATCGGACACTCGACAGCCGAGTTCCAGACTCTTGAAAATGGTCAAAATCAACTGGCCGGGTCTGTAGTTTTTTGGTGAATTTATGTTTTTTTATGGGCGACACACACTTCTATATTGTTATTCAGTTTATTTAGGGAAGTAATTTAATCAGAATAAAAAACGAACAGAACATCAAGGGCATTTCAATTAGAGAGAGAGAGAGAGTGCTTAAAATAGAGGGACCCTTCTAATACAGGTTTTACGATAATTTTCCAGCAACTCCGCGAGATCCTCGCCCAACGTCGTGAGAACCTCCGCAACCGTTTGATGTCTCACGGAAGAAACCAACAACAACAACAAAGCAACGACGTCAGCAGCCAAGGAACACCAGATGATGGATCCATCCCTAAGGCCCCAGAAAAGCCATCTTTCTGTACTGCTGAGGAGACTACTCAATACTATTTCGATGGATGTATGGTTCAGGTAAGATTATTTTCGAAATTGTTTGGATGGGTTACTGTAGTTGTGACCTTCTTATTTGCCAAACAACCGCTCCTCATCCTTTAATCCTCTTTTCAGAACAACAAAGTCTACGTCGGTGGTCAATTCGCTCGTGATCTCACCTCTGACGAGGTTTCCGAACTTCAGACTTTCGACACTCAACAAACTGCTTACCAGAACGCTGTTCAGGCCCAGATGCAAACTGTAAGCTTGTTAAAAAGATCGAAAACATAACCAAATTTATTTTCAGCAAGTTCGGGGATTGTTCGGAGGATCTGACTTCCTTTCTGCTCTCTTCGGAGGAGATGATCTTCGTCAACCACAACAACAGCCATCGTCCACAACTCCAGCTTCCACCAGCTCAACAACTCTTCCACCAAAACCAACGGTGCCACAGTTCTGTACCGCCATCTTCTAAATCCCCGCTTTAATTTTTTGCCTCTCATTCTTTACAGTTTCTTGTGTATCCAACCATCCACTATGTGCATATAACAGCTACGGTCTTTACTTTTTTCATCAAACAAATTGTACAGAAGACATTCTTCTCTTAAATAAAGTTTTGAAATTTAATGGACAAAATTTAACAGAATATATGAATTTGAAAAATAAAAAGGCATTGGTGAATACAGTTTATTGTAACTTCAAATGAGAAACATGGAGGTCTACGGTTGTTTCTTACAATCCTGAAACCCTGAAAAATGGAACAACATTTATTTTGACTCAAATTATCTTGTTTTTCAACTCCTGCTCTCTCAAACTTCCAGATAAACTAATTATTTTCAAATCAACGGAATTTACCGTATTTCCTCTTGCCCATTCGTTAGCTTTGAGCGCAATTATCTCGATTCCTGTGATAGATATCCAAATGATGTCAACTGATAAAATGCTTATCATAATATCAACAATATTTTATCAGTTGATAAATTGTTGATATCTTCTACAGAAATCGAGATAATTGAGCTCAAAGTTGACGGTTTGTGTGGGCTTCTTTTAGAGGGGAAATACGATGTTTTAAACGTAATCTTCAATAGACGTCCGTGACCACTTCAATAATGAGGGCAGAAAAACTTTCAAGGATCTTCAGAAACTAAGAGAAAATTCAGTACTGAATATTGAATATTCAGAAGATTGGCAACGTTCAAGTTCAGAAGACTACGAAGTCTACGGATGTCTACAATCTCTACGAAGTCTACGACGTCTACGATGTCTCCCCGACTCGCGTTTTCAATATCGATGTTCACTGCAAAAAAGGTTAGTTTTGAATTTGAAAAAAAAACGTTATCACATTCGCAACTTTCAAATTCCAGGTCAACGATGTCTACGATGTTTCCCGTACTCGCCAGTTTTCAATTACAAGAGGGACTGCAAATAAGGTGTTTTGAATTTTTGAAATTTTGGACAAGTTTTCGGTTGCAAAAAAGAAAATACTGAAAATTTTCCAATAAAACAAAATTTAGAGAAAATAGGAGTTCTCATTTTGGAAAAGAATTCTAAAAACTGGTATTCTGAACAACTTAGTATCAAATTCACAACGATAATGTTCCAGAAGTGTGTGTGTGTCTACGATTTCTGCGACATCTGTGACATCTACGAAGTCTGCGATGTCTACGGTGCTAATAAGAAAGGCGGAAAAACTATTCGGAATCTATTTCAACCCCAAAAGTAGTACCAGATTCGCAATGTTCATGCTCAGGAGACTACGAAGTCTGGGAGGTCTACAATCTCTACGAGGACTACGAGGTCTACAATGTCTACAATTTGCCGATTTCAAACGATTTCATGATTGACTGAAATTAAGGTTAGTTTTGTGTTTTGCTAAATTTTGAGCAAAACTAAAAAACTTTCAAATTTTGAAAAAATGTTTCTTTTCGCGACAAATTGATCATGATAATCAGTAAATCTGGGCAACTCTTTTCTTTTCCCCCAACTTTCAAAACGAATAGGAACCTTCTGATTCCTCTTTTTTTTTCAATTCCGTTTTTTTATTTTCGTGAACAAAGTTTTGAAAAATAGATGAATTTTAAAACAGTTCCCGTGGACACCTCAATAAGATTAGGGCAAAAATTGACTAGATTCTAGTAAATGCGAAAAATTAGTATCAAAGTTGCAAAACGTTCAAGTTCATGAAACTACGAAGTCAACGAGGTCTACAATCTCTACGATGTCTACGATGCTTCCCGGACTTGCAAATTTACGATAACGATGGGGACTGCAAATAAGGTCAGTTTTGAATTTTCAAAATTTGGACAAGTTATTGATTACAAAAAAATTCTGCCGATTTTCCAAAAAAAGGTAGAATTTTCGAAATTTAGAAATAATAGGAAGTCTGAGCATTTTAAGAATTCTAGACGTCAAATTTATAACGATCATGTTCCAGAAGTCTACTATATCTGCGAGGTCTATGAGGTCTGCGATGTCTACGATGCCTTCGAATTCCCGGATTCGACAGGATTTCAATAACCGGATTGGCTGCAATTTAGGTTAGTTTTATGTTTTGCTAAATTTTGCTCGAAAGTTTTGGGTCGAAGTAAATCGGAGAATCCTGACGTTTTTTTTCATAAAATTTAAAGCTATCTGTGAAAATTTCAAAAATATTGTCACATCATTCTGAGACATCAGTAAACAGCAATTTTAAAAACGCTTGTATTACCGAAAGCCATTCTGAAAAACAGAATTCCGAGTTTTAAAGGAGGCCAGACACCAAAAAAAAAATTTTTCCTGATATTTTGCATAGAGAACCCCCATGAGGGGTTGAACTCATGACAGGCAGCTCACACAGGTCCTGGGCGCGCATACGCATAATGGATGGGCGACGGAGGACGCGCCGATGAATTGGGTACAGGGAAAGGAGGCCGGTATGGGGCATATACGGGGCATATGGGGCACACCACCGCCGCAAAGCATCTCCTCGCCTGGCTTGCTGGCACTCGATGAAATGAACTAAAACGTTGGTTGGGGGTTCCTAAAAGTATCAGTTAAGTTCTATTGTGATGTGATTTTGTTCAGGTCTTCCGATTTCGTACTTTTCCTTTATTATTCCATATTCTTTTATATTTTGAACGACATATTACTGATTTTTCGAAACTCAATGTTTTGGTTTTGAAAAAGACTTATGGCAGTTTCCATTTAAATTTGATATGCAATCAAAAACAGAAGAAAATGGGAAAAAATTCGCGAAAAATTGTTTTTTTTCATTTGTTCAAAAAATGTCTCACTTTCACTTTTTTGAAATTGCATGAAAAATTGAAAATTTTTATAATTTAAACTTTTTAATTATTGTATACTTACCAACTTACCTTTTACTCCACCTGAAAATACGATTTTTACAATAATTACAAAGTGAAATCAAAAAATCTCAATATCACCTATTTTGGCGAAAAACATAGCAATTAACGAGTGAAAGACATGTTTCTGCAAGAATTCAGCGATTTTTTATTCTGCCATAACTCTTTTTCACATAAAACATCGAAGGATTAATCGAAAAACCAGAAATGTAGGCTCGAATTGACGAAAAATTGACAAAGTTGCCGGTGTGGATTTACGGTAAACAATGGGCGCATCCGGGATTTCGGAGTGTTGTAGTCGGCCTACCGTATCAGACCCATATCGCACACATCGCCCACCCACCCAGAATCCATCTAGGATACGCGCGCATTCGGAACACTCGATTCAGCCTCTCCCGCATCGCACACATATGGGACTCATCGCAGCTCGTTGTTCGCGATATGTGTCAAACGGACTTCTAGAGGATCGCATATGGATCGGGTCCTTTATGCGCATCATCGCCCAGGACCTGTGCAGGGGTACAGCGCTGCTACCGGCTGAGCTACGGGGGCGCGAAGGCGCCTGACGACCGATGGTCTACATAATCGCGGCGCGATTTCGTCCCCCGAACTGCTCCCGAAATTTTTGCTGTCTCGCCTCCTTTAAAAATTAAAAAAAAAGTTTTGCAACGAATTTTGCAACGTTCAATTTTCAGAAGTCCACGGTGTCTCGGGTCGGATGTCAGGGATGTCAGGGATGTCGCCGATGTCTACGATGACTACAATTTCCCGAACTCGAATCTTTTCGAAATTTAGTTTACCTACAGTTATGGTTAGTTTTAAGTTTTGCTGAATTTTTCGAAAAGCTTTGTTCAAGTTACAATTCAATTCTCAGTTTTAAGAATAATAATAATAATAAATTTTTACTAATTTGAAATTTTTAAGGCGTTGTCAACAAAGAATACATCCATCCAGGAACGCCACGATACAAGGATGGATTCGGAAACTTTGCGAACTTTTTTTTCTTTTTTCTTTGTTTTTCTTCGGCTTTGATACTGTCGTCTATCGTAGTTTAAAAAAAAGCGATAGGCGACAATGGAATAGTTTCTGTTCTAGTTGTTCCGAGTCTTCTTGATGAGTCTTCTCTGTGACGTCTTCTGAATCCGTCATTTTTGGCTCTCCGTGTCCGATGTCGGAAAGATTTTCTGTTCAGTGTCCGGTGTCCGTACAAATTTTTTTGTCAGTCCGTTTAACCAAAAAATTAATTTTGAAGTTGCCTAATTGTAAGAAGACAGTAAAAATGATAGATGAGCTCCGTTTTCTTGCAGTTTCTTAAAGTTTCTTAACGTTTTTTTGAAGTACCAGCATTCTGTTACTCAACTGTTAATCTTATCTGAACTCAAGATGCTCTCATTCCTACTCGACTACCAATTAAAGTACCAGTATCCTGTGTTCATCGGTTCGTCAGGTTTGTCAGATTCGTCAAGATCGTCAGTGAGGTTTGTACGTGAGGTTCGTGAAGTTCGTCTGTGAGGTTTGTCCGTTCTGCTTGTCCGTGAGACTCGTCCGTCTGGTTCGGGCGTCAGGTTCGTCCGTGAGGTTCGTCTCTGAGGTTCGTCTCTGAGGTTCGTCCGTCAGGTTCGTCTGTCAGGTTTGTCCGTCAGGTTCGTCCGTCAGGTTCGGCCGTCAGGTTTGACTGTCAGGTTTGACCGTCTGGTTCGACCGTCTGGTTTTTCCGTCAGGTTTTTTGTCAGGTTCGACCGTCTGGTTTTTTCGTCAGGTTTTTTTGTCAGGTTCGACCAGGGCTGGGAAAAACAAACGCCGGCGGATAAACGGCGGCAAAATTTCGGCGTTTCGCCGGCTAGCCGGCTGCGACGACACGGCTGCAGACGGCGAACGGCGGCGGCCGCCGGCGTTTTTATGCGCACTACGGTAGATAAAAAGTTGTGCAGTCTGCATTTTTCGTTAACGCACATTTCTTTATTGTTTTTTTGGCTTAATTTTAATCGTTTTTTGCCAAAGTTGTCTCTTTTTTTTTTAAAAAAAGGAAGATTTTACAAAGGATTATGTAGCGAAAGTGGTGAAAGGAGAGATAAAAGGTGTTCGATTTCAGAAAGTGAGTAAAAATAGAACGTTTCGCTGAAAAGAACAATTTTCAGGTTAATCTTGTCGTATCTGCAGAAACAGAAACACAGTAGGAACACTAGCTACTACTTTGAAAAACGTATACACTTCGAATCGACTGTCGCTGGAATCGAAATTGTTGGAAAATCTATGTTAATCAAAGAGATGCCTTAAAATTGATTTATTAGTCTTCATCTAATTTCTGAAAAACTCGTCCTCCAAAAATCGATTTCTCAACATTTTTCACTTTCATTTCCAATTTTCTCTGATTAAAAAAAAAATTAGATTCTTATTCTTTTTTTTTAATTCTCATATTTTGTTCATTTTGTTCTCTAACGTTAAAATATGCTTTTGCACAATAAACACTTTCTTGAAAAAAAATTATATTCGAACTTATTTGTAAAAACACAGTTGAACTAATTCGCGCACACACATCATGAACGCCAGCGCCGCCGGCGCTGCCGGCGGCGCCGCGGCGCGGCTGTGTTTTGAAAACGCTGCGTTTTGCCGCCGTTTTTCGGCTGCGCTGTGAGACGGCGGAAAGCCGGCGGCCGCCGGCGTTTTCCCAGCTCTGGGTTGACCGCGTCGTCAGGTTCGACCGTCTGGTTTTTTCGTCAGGTTTTTGTCAGGTTTTTTGTCAGGTT